AGGAGAGAGAGAGAGAGAGAGAGAGAGAGGAGAGAGAGAGAGAGAGGAGAGAGAGAGAGAGAGAGATATATATATATATATATATATATATATATATATCTTTCTATATATGTATATATTTCTATATATTCTAATATATATATATATATATATATATATATATATATATATATATATCTTTCTATCTATATATGAGAGAGAGAGAGAGAGAGAGAGAGAGAGAGAGAGAGATATATATATATATATATATATATATATATATATATATATATATATATCTCTCTCTCTCTCTCTCTCTCTCTCTCTCTCTCTCTCTCTCTCTCTCTCTCTCTCTCTCTCTCTCTCTCTCTCTCTCTCTCTCTCTGTATATGTTGTATTCATATATATATATATATATATATATATATATATATATATATATATATATATATATATATATATATATATAGTTTTTGGCTGCATATCCTTACTCGTGGCTTAGCCTTACCCAGCCCCTATTCCCAATAAGCTTTCCCCCACTCTTTCTCTATCATTACGTGACCACTTCCTCACGCCACTGCAACGGACGCATTAATGACTACCGGAATGTGTGACCGTGCCGGATTCACAAAGGAATGGAATGCAACTCAACAAACACACAGTACAATACTGTTGTGATATAGGCCTGCCGGCGCCAGGTCAGCTGGTGACCCGTCAGGTCAGCTGACGGATCATCAGCTGACTCTCGCCGGAGCCCGTGGGGACAGTCTAATCCGAACCACCTTACGACAGCGCGCGCGCATCACTGTCGTGAGGTAATATACGAGCCGCGACCCAACTGATGAGAACAGAGCATGTCGCAGTCGGTAGTATGATCAGTCGAGTGCGTCTGTGATGCCGATTTTAAGATGCAGTGAGTCCTTAGTGCCCTACGTGCAGCCGTGCTGGACCACTCGCGTCAGTGGTGAGTGACGACGGGCAGCTCGAGCGCTCAGTGGCGCTGATGGTGCAGCAGCCCGAGCAGGCGGCGCAACGGGAGGAGCGACCCATCTCCACGCTGGAGCCGGTGCTGGTTAGCTAGGAGCGGCCGCCAGCCGTGCGGAACGACACGGCCGCGGCCGAGAGCGGGCAGCGCACCCAGGCTGTCTCCGCCGCCGCGGTACCAGCTGCGAGGCTCCCGTCGGGCGCCATCTCAGCGTCACACCTGACCCCGTCCGCGTCTTTCAAGGAGTTTGGCGCGTGGCACCTGAAGTTCGCCGACTTCAGGCTCCTGATCCGTCTGGAGACGCTGCTCGGCGCGAACAGAAGGCGGCCCTGACGTCACTGCTTGACGAGTGGACACGGACGATGCGTCACAGACTCCAGCCCGCTCGGCACGCCGACCTGACTACCATTCTCTACACGATGGAAGCCCATCTGCGTGGTCAGCGCGGTCTCATCGTGGGCCGATAGAACTTCCACTCGCGCGTCAGGGAAGCCGATGGGACGTTCAACGATTTCGTGCCGTCCATCAAGGAGGTCGCCGCTTATTGTCACTTTTGTGACTTTTGTGACGCGTGTATGGACGACCAGTGCCGTGACAGGATCGTGCTCAGTGTACGTGACGGAAGGCGCTGAAGCGCATGCTGTGCGAGCCAAAGCTGACTCTGCAGAAGGCGGTGGACAGTGTGGCGCGTGCGAGTCAGCGCGTGCGAACAGTGCTGCAATCCGCCGCGAGCCGACTGCTGAGGCTCGAAGTGTCGGCTTACCTATCGCGAGTCACGTGCCCGCCCCCGTTCCGCTCATGCGTGTCAAGATGACTCCCGCCCGCGCCGCGACCGAACAAGACATGCCGACGGAGTGCGATATCGTGCCGTGGATGTATTGTGCCATGCGCGCGGCTGTCACCGATCACTTCGCGGCGGCATGCACCGCTCAGCTGCCCGCTCGCGGCGCCCGAGGCGGCGGGTCGTCGCTGGCAGAGCGCCAGGTCACGTGATCGCGCGGCCGGCGACCGGCCGCTCGAGGCCGGGTATGAGTCAGGGTCACGCCGCAGGCGAGGAGCCGGGCATGGTGCGGCGAGCGAGTGCAGCCGAGGAAGGATCGGGAATACGGCGAATCATTGCCGGTGTCCAGGTGGATCGGCTGGCCGCTGGTGGACGCGACGCTCACCCACCCAGCGAGCTCCACGGCCGTGTGCTGCGCGCCACATAGCTGACCCAAGGCTACGGGGATTGAAACTGAGATGGCTGCGTCCTTGGGCGTCACGGAGTGCTGGATGAGCTCTGTGAGTGACGGGGCTAGATTCTCGCCCGCTGGAAACAAGCCCCTGACCTGGACCGGTCAGCTCAGCACCACGGTCATTATGGATGACTGCAAGATTGCTACGACTGTCTACGTGCTGCGGCAGGTCATTGGGGTTCCCACTAAGCTGGCGTGACGCCGTGCGTCTACGGATTCTACCTGCCGACTTTTAGACCCAGATTCCTGCCAGCATCGCGCAATACCAGTCTGATGCAAACCGTGCACGGACGGACCGGTGCAGCGACCGCCAGATCCGCTCACAGCCGGCCGGCCACTCACTAACACCACCTGTCGACCGAAAACTGGCGCCGCCTGCCGGCTGTTCCGTGGGCTGTACGCTGCAGCACGGACAGCCACCGTCGCCTGCCGGCTGTTTCCCGCAGCACGCAGAGCGCGGCCAGGGTGGCCGGGCGGCTGGGTGCCGCTCGGGAGCCTCGCGCAGGCCTCCTCGAGGCCTCCGGCGCGGCGCAGCGCACGGCCCGGAGACTTCGAAGCCGCCGTTCCCTGGGGCCAGCACTCAGTTCCCTGCCTGCAGGAGAACAAGACCACCATCACGCAGACGCCGTCATCGTAGAACATGAAGCCGCCCTAAGACATCCTTTTCGAGAGGTGTTCGACGACTACGAGGCGCTCCGGGAGATGATCGGTGGGCCCATGGCAGCTGAGCTGACAGATGACGCAGCGTCCGCAGCTCTCACTGCCGCCGCGACCATCCCGCACTGCTGGAGAGCAGTAATCAGGAGCCAGCTCGACGACAGGGCAGCCAAAGGTGTCATCATCTCGGTAGACTACCTTACAGCGTGGTGTAATCTCCCGGTGCTGATCGCGAAGCGCCAGGGAGTAGCCAGGCTGGTCGTGGACATGACAGCCATCAACATGTTCGTGAAGAGACCTGCCCATCCCGTCAGACGGATCCACGACACAGTGGCGTCCATCGACGGAAATGCACGGTGGCTGGCCCCCCTGGGCGCCACCATGGGCTGATTCCAGGTCCCGATCGCGGAGGAATCGCAAGATCTCACCTGTGTCATTGCTCCATGGGGCCGCATGAAGTTCGTTGGGCCCTGATGGGTCTCGTCTCGACCGGAGTCAAGTACGACCGGCGCGGCATCGCGGCTCTCGGCGACGTACCGGGAACGATCAAGATCGTAGACTACCTGCTGGTGCACGACGTGGCCTACAATGCCCATCTCTCTCACGTGATCATCGTCCTCAGTCGCTGTCTAGAGAGAGGCATCGCGATCAACCTGCGAAAGTTCCGGTTCGCTCGGCAGACGCTTGACTACTGCGGCTACCGTATCCCGGACCAGAGCTACACGATCGACGACGGCAAGCTTCAGCTTGCCTCAGAGTTCCCGCGTCCAGAGCACTTACTGACCTGAATTCGTTCTTGGGAGTCTCCCATCAGCTTACTGGCTTCTCGGCGGACAGCGCCAGAGCGGCCCAGCCTCTCCAAGACCTGCTGAAGCGGCACACTGCGTAGAGGTGGACCGTGCAGCACGGGCCGTGGTGTTTCAGGACGTTTATGACACGAGCCACCCGGTCCTTTTCTTTACCGAAACACACCTCAGTTTGCACGTCCGAGCTCGTTGCAATCAGTAAAGCCCTATGCTTTATCGAAGTTGGTGAGAGCAACTCACACGTGATCTTATCCGATTCTTTGAGCAGCCTGTTGGCTTTGGCAACCTTTAACCCATCTTGTCCCATTATACAGGATATTTTAGTTCGCCTGACGGCGCTGGATCTTGCTGGTAAAACTGTCGTCTTATGTTGGATACCGAGTCATGCGGGTATCGCAGGTAACGAGCGTGCTGACGCGGCCGCAAATGGGGCAGCGCGTGCACCTTGCACCCGTTCTTTACCCTTGCCGGCAAGGGACTTTTACCCTGCAATCACGACCTTTGAAAAGGGAAAATGGCAACGCTGCTGGGACGCCATTGTAAGCAATAAGTTAAAGGTGATCAAGCCACAACTGGGGCCATGGTCCTCAAGCTCACGTAAGTTGAGACGCGAAGAAGTAACCCTCAGCAGATTACGAAATGGCCACACGCACGCAACACATAGCTACGTTTTGTGCGGGGGAGAACGCCCTAAATGTCCTCGTTGTGATGCGCCACTTACGGTTCTCCACGTTATTCACTCCTGCCTACAGTTCAGAGAAGAGCGAGCACTTTACTTCGGACGAGATGCGTCAGGTCTTACCCTTTCAGAAATTATTGGTGACGATTCTCGCGTGCTTGGCACCGGACAGCTGTTTTCCTTTTTGAGAAACGTAGGATTTACAGCCATTTATGCACCTTGGTAAACACTTGGCTGTTAGGGGCGCAAAATGACCCTAGAAGTCGACGCGCCCTAAAACCCCAACCATCATCATCAGGACGTTTACGACGCGCTGCTGGCGCCGCTAACGCGCTGCTGGCGCCGTAACCGTTCCACCCGTAACTGGCATGAAGAGCGCAGAGTGTGAACTTTTCCTGCGGATTAAAGTCCACCCCCACCCCCTCCCGGTATCCGGCGGCCCTGGCGCGCCTTGTAAACGGCGCGCGTGCCTGGTCCAGGCCAGAACGCGGTGACGTCTAAATAAACAGTAGCCCCCCCTCGGCTGGGCTAAGCCGGCAAACAGCGCAGTCGGCCGAGCGCATTATGTCGGCAACGTCGCCCAACTTCAGGTCAGGTAGAATGGAACGGGGCGCCGCCCACACGCTTCTACCGTTTTTGATAGACTCAAAGTGCCGGTAGATTCCATCGCTCCGGTTTGTCTTTATTTATGATGCAGCCACACCACGGCGGTTCACAATCTAAATGCATCGGCGTTCATCATTGCTTTCGCGGCTGATTTGAAACGACATCGTTCGGTACACGCAATGCTCTGGTTTAGACGCCCACGCGTAGGCTCCGCGTTTTGATTTAAGCCCGTTATGTTCCCAGGAATTTGGCCACGGCAGTCTGTTAACTGCTGTTCGACGTCAGACGGTACTGTGGTAAAGGAAGCTGCCGAAACCCTGCGCGCGGAATCGTGGTGAGCTTCGACCCATTATCCTTTCAGAACTACCACGGTGATGTGGGATCCATTGGTTATGTTATAGTAGACAGCGACGCATTATTAATCTTGCAGCTGGCTGAGCGGGCAGCCCCAGCTCTGGGTCCACCAGCGCAAACAAAATGCGTTGGTCCTCGCCTGCGCAATCACGCAGACTACACAGTCGCAGACAATCGAACTACGCAGACAATCACGGTCGGCTGAGGCTCGGATCGGGGCTTCAGGACGAGGTGGGCCTCTCCAGGTGGCCGAACGCCCGCGCCTTGGCGGCTGGGTCCATGACGATGCTGATCGTGACGGCAGCCCTCGGTCCGGCTGGAGGAATGGACCGTGCCGGCCGGCACCAGCAGCGTGCTGTCCTGCTGCAGCCGGTGCAGCTCCCCGGCCACCTCCACCTCAGCCGAGCCCTCCTGAAAAGGTGCTCCTTCCGTCACCGACGCCCACTCCGACCGCGGCAGCCGCCGCGTACCAACGCGAGCCGCACCGCGTTTGGAAGCAAGGCAACAACAGAATTGCGCGGAACAAATTTGACACGGAACTCCGAGAGCTCTATGACGTGCAGCTACATGGCGCGTCCCGAAAATAATGCAATTCACCAGAGTATTTGTAATGAATGAGACAATGATGTTGTGCGTAGACCCCCGGCACTTGAACTCGCCAAGAAAACACCTTCGACATCTGAGTGGCTTCAACCGAGCACTTTAGTAGTCATTTTACTCCCCGCACCCTGTGTACATTCGTGCCCTCTGTCTACACACAATTCGCATTCTTTTGCGAATCGCTGCCTCGTTATAAACGCGTGGCGCGCGGCGCGTCCTTTCACGGCTGTTGACCACCCGCGTCGCGGCCGTGTCCACTCACCACCTGCCAGAGGAAGGTCTCGGCACGCGCGTTGTGTCCCGTCCAGGAGCCGCCGCCCAGCGCCACCACGTCCGTCTGGTAGCTGAGATCGAACAGGCGCCGGCTGCCCTCCGAGTCAAGCTCGGACCGGTGTGAGGTCAGCCAGCGCCGCAGGCAGAACGGCTCCTCAGTCTGCCCGCCACCAGCGGCCGGGGTCGGGTCAGAGGCGCCGACGGGCCACAGAGGGGTGTGAGCCCCGAAAAGCGCAGCCCACGCGAGTGGCTACAAGAACGCGGCGTCCTTTTCCACAGAACAGACAGTCAATGATCGGGCTGTTTCGGTGCGGATCACGGGAGTGCGGTGCGCCACAGTCCGGCCGATGCGGACTTGCCGCGCAGGGGGCCTGATGTAATTGGCGCGAGATTGCCGCATTCAAAGAGCCACGCTTTACAGATATTTGTGGTGCAGATTTAGCCTGTCGTTCCATGTCTGGCTGATGCTGATAAGCCCTCCCGTGTTTGCAAACGCGATGAGACCGACTGATACACATAGAATCTGGCACCCCACTCGCTGTGATATCGGTAAACGATCGCGCCCATCTGGTGTCCAGATGGCTTGGGCGAAAACACTGTTTGCTGCCGTTCGGGCGGGCCTGATGAAAGCTCACCGTTTCTTCGTTTTGTCCACATGGTCCCGGTGGCGCCCAGCTCATTGCATGTCTGGCGTGGCACGTGTGGTTGCGGAGAAGCCCAGTTAGTAACCATTAAAGCCCATTGCCTGCCTGATATTGCTCGTCTGGCAGCGGCAACGGCAAATCGATGCACGACAGGAGGCCCAGTCAGGCTGGCAACAGAAGTGCCGCGCCAAACTCGAGCCACCATCAGGCCATTTCCTCCTTCGTGGAATTCGGCCACACCTGCACGCCCACTGCTGGCCCACTGCGCATCAGCTGATGAGGGTGGCGGACCAGCACACCTGTCTGACGTCGTCCGGCTGGAAGTACTGCGGACAGAGGAACGTGCCGACCCCCGGCTGGCCGGTGCGACACTCCTCCGAAGCGAAAAACTCCCGAATGACGGGGCCCAGCTCCAAGCCCAGATCAACGCAGTAGAACCAGCGCTCCCACAGCGTCTCGGTCGTGTCGCCCGCGAAGTACCTGTTCGTGGGGGCAAAGCAGGACACACTTAGGTTGTCTCCAAAGTTCTCCTTTACACCCCACACGGTACCTCCAAAGAAAGTGCTGTTCAGCGTGGCGTTTTCGCGAGTTGCATGACAAACATTACACAGAACCATGCACACGGTGATGGCAAAAGCTCTTCACTAACCGCAGACAGTCATACTCGGAGCCGCAGACACGATCTCGTTCGATGACCAGGCCCACGGTGTTCTCGTAGCGCTGCGGCGAGTGGGGGATCTTGCCGGGCAGCAGGAATATCTGCGCACGATAGCACAGAATGCAAAACCATAAACATGACTGCTTTGTCCAAGCTAGTCATCCGGTGTTTAAACTGATGCTGTCCGGTTCGGTAAATCATGATTGTACACTCATAAGATTACGACCATAAATTTATCAAGCAGCGTGCCAACGACATCACAACCATATCCGCTGTGACTTTACATAGATCAAAGAGGCAGAAAGGCGCTTTGGCGCAATTACATCCGACATGGTCGCCCAGCAGTAAAGCTAATGCTTTGCGCCACTTGTATTCAAGCTGGCATGATCTGCGACAGCGCCATCGGGAGCGTATGATAGCCGGTACCCATGACTCGTGAATTAAACCTCAGGCATACAGGGCTGCAGGGAAATAGCACACCTAACTCGTCATCCGTCTTCGACCCGCATCATTAGCCGGTAGCACCACCCTTGAGCCTCATGCAGTTGGATGGTATCACATACGGTGATACCGCGCTTAAGCTTGACGCGTTTTAGAAGACCCTTGACCTTATTCTCACTCGAAGGCCGATTGAGACCTTCTCTGGTTTTCCTTTCTGGTCACGAAACCTTTGCAGCTAGAGTACTGAAGCAGCTTAATGACTTTTCTCGACTTTCGATTTTACACACTTGAACAGCATATTGACACCCTGAATTGTCGCAGGGGCGACTAGGCTTGACTTGTAGGTGGTATGTCAGGATCAATAGCAGTCTGCAGTCGCCGCCCGAGCTACGCCGGATGAACATTATCCTGGCCGGTTAACCGCGTCCAGTCAGGTACCGATGTCACTCGCGCATGCCTCTGTCCGTGTAGGAAGCTGTCCGAAACAACATGATGGTTTTTGTAGCCCACGTTAATAAGACCTATATCGCCTATTTGTGCTTGTATCGCCCTACATGGTGACGAAACATGTTAGGACTTGAAATCTTGGCCACCAGGAGCTAGGTAAATTCCATCTCGACCACCATGTTCGTGGACATCGCCACCTGTTCCGGTGCCGCATATCGCGTCTTGCGGTGTGCTGACGGGACAGAAGGGTCTTATCACACATACTGGGTCAGTTTTGCGGCGTTTTTGGCGACCCCTAACCACTTCTGTTTTCCTCAGCTGCTTGTGTCTTTTAGAAACCACCACTGCCGGATTACGCCACTGGGCCGGCTGGCCCGCTGCAAGATGACTCCATTCATGCCCTCCAACGCCTGTCTGACCTCGCGCCGCCAGCCATGCCGGATGTTGCGTGTCACGCCGATCGAGAATCGCTTCGCTCCTTCGGTTAGCTCCATTTTCATGGGCAGCTCACCATGTGTCTGAGAGCAGATGCCGTGCAGAACATCGACAGGAAGGCTGACATGACATTCGACATGATGAGCGCGCTGCTCCCTGCTGGATCGCGTGCAGTTCTCCACTTGGGAGACGCGCTACCGCTGTCAACCGAACAGCCTTTTTTGCTAATGGTGCTCATGCGATCGAAGATGCCTTTTTTCGGCGTACTGGGCTGCTGTCATGTGAAGACACGGCTGGATAACCGTGATGGATAGTTCTCCCGTAGAGTTCCAGGCAATGACTAAACGTGAAGCAGGCTCCACACAACGTGAAGCAGGCTCCACACAGGCCTCTGATGAACTATATTTTGGTACTGGTGATCTGCGCTCCATTCTCAGTTCAAAAAGTTTTCACATGCTCGTGTTTTTCCAGCCCCTCGGTTGTTATATGAACGTTCAGTACCCAACCGGACCAGAACAGGAAATGACACTCTCTTTTTTATTTTCCATGGAACATATTTTTACTCAATATCGCTTATCAGGCTTCTTGTGTAATGATCAAACTAAAAAACTTTTTGCCATCATTGGCCAACACAGTCAACGTTCCAAATGGCATGCTTTGAGCAACTTGCTCAAAGTTAAACGATATTCTTTTGCTTTTTATTTGTTTGGGTTTGTCCAAGCAACAATTTATCGGAATGTGCCACTGAAAGCATCCACTCATGATATAGTCGTTTATTGTGGCCAATCTTCCTACATATTTGCACGTGCGTTTGAACGGTACGTGCCTTGGTTATTTGGTTGCCTGTGTCTGACAGTCTGCAATTGAATCGTAGCGATTGAGGGGAAATACAACGGATAACGCCTGTTTCTTTCGATGGTGTTGATTATACCACTGGAACAGCATATTTGTTGCTTTCAGTGCCACAAGATGTCTGTCTGCTTCTGTGGTAAAATACGTAATGTATATAACATAATAGTTTGCTTTTCGATTGTTGCATGGCCTGAACTTCCTAGAGTTTTCTAACTGGATTACTCGAGCGCACTTGTTACGTAACTTATTTGTGTGTATTTGCTTGAGGATGATTAAACTATCAGTTATTTTCAATTGCCTGGCTAAAAAATATGCAAGATTACTGTGGAAAAATTACACCTTCATATAGAAACACAAATTGTTTTTATTCAAGGCAGGACATTACATTTTTCCTTTTCACGCGTTGTTACATTAGGCGCGTGCCATTTGAACAGCAATGCCAATTTCTCGAAATCGTTCTAAACAACTCAGAATTTCAACTTGAAGCAGCCGACCCTGCGAGAGAAATCTTAGTTGGCTCCCTGCTCTCTATTATGAAAAAATTGCTTCATTTGCCTTGCTTTTTCCAACGTACACATTCTTTAGTGTTTGCAGCACACTAATGCGTCAAAATGTTCGTGCAATAGGCGTCACGAGAGCTTGAAGCACTGTTTAGACATAAATATAGCGACCATAAGACTATTATCCCGCGAATTCAACGAAACGTTACTCAGGCTTTGATTCCTCTCCTATGACATTGACCACAGTAGCTCTTTTCGAGGCACGCCTTGACTTTGGGAATGGAAGCATCACATGATCCATGTAAGGCATTGATAGCAGCGTGGTAATAGCCTCAGCTGTTGTGTATGCAGTCGATTGTACGACTGTTTATCACTGCGCGACTGATTGTTTTGTTGTGCCTTGTCTGGACATCTTACACAGGTGCCACACTTCGAAACTTGCACAGTCACATTCAGCAGCGTTCGAGTAAATCTATCTGGGCGAGAATGCTCTTGCAAATCCCAATCCACCAGCCCCACCCTATGCAGGAAAAATCATTCCCGAGTGATGCTCTAGTTTCGGCTCCCAACTTCAGCGTGCGTGATTCGATCATCTTAGTATTTTTACATTTAAAAGATCCAGCCCTACGTGATATGACTTCATCATACCTATGAGATACTGTGATGCGATCAAATATGTCTGTAAATGTGGGGAGAAGGCGTTTGACATTGCATGCACTTTTGCGCTATTTTTAGTTTGTTCATGTAATGTGCGTGTTTTAACACGCGCTCGGATGAGGAGCCAATTTGTCCCCCCCCCAAAGGTTTTCATAAATTAATCTTCAAATGACGCAGCGTACCTACGCGTAGGGGCGGTAACACGCGCCGACTTGGTGGATAAGGTCGGCGAATAAAAATGCATGTATTCACGCGAAGCTTAGGGCCAAAAATGTTTTTGGACAGCAATTTTGGTGAAGGCCAGTACGAAAAAGTACAGCACACTATGCAAAACATAGCATGAGGTCTCTATTCATAGATATTATGCCTCCATCGCAATATATTTCGTCACACAACACAAGCAAACGTTTCTGTAAAGACTTTACCGTACTTTACGGCATCCCGGTATCTTTTCTAGGTTTTATTCCAACCTTGCAAAAAAATCCCGTGATTTTTAGTCGGTCGGCCGACTCGGTGACAGGTCGGCGACAAATCAGTGTATTTCTTACGGCCCGGCCGGTCAGCCGATCCGCTGTTTTTAACAGTCAACTCTCAGTGTCCCGAACTAGACAGTATAAAGTACTGAAAAATATCTAGATATGGGGATTCATCTGGCCGTAATGGTGTGTTACAATGGTTGCGATGCGACTAATCTGAGGTGGGCGGTGACTTTCAATGCACTGCAATTTCGCAAGTGACATCCGCATTGCAGTGCCATGAATACCTGCCTAGGGTTTAATTTCTGGCCTTGTTTACTTTGTTGGCTGTACTGTGATTCAGAAGCCTGTCCTCAGCGACGGGAGGCATTCACAGTTCAGGGTGAGTCGACGGGATGTTTCGATCAAGGTAGAAATTGACCTGTCATTATCCAAACCGCCTTTTCAGGACACCGAAAACGCTGCTGACTCACCGAAGCCTTCTCAAGCGACCAGACCAGCCTTCTTCCCTTTGAAAGAACCGTGGATTTGATGTTGAAGTGTGATGGCACTTCTCATGAATGAGACATGAGATGAGATGTGACAATGAGACACAAAACAGAAGGCGATAATATTTCATAAATGCCAATTTGTGCCATTTTTGTTTTTGTCCTGATTGCGAATGGTTACCAGTCACATAGATCTTCAAATTAAGGTATTCCTACTTCTTATTCAGTTCAGAGCTCCAGCCCTCCCCCTAAGTTTGTGAAGAAGTGTGGAATTTGTGAAGAAGAAGAAATCTGGGAGACATCCATATCTTGCGGTACATTGCATAGTTTTTTCACTGCTCTCTACCCTATCTTCAAAAACTATGCCCCTGCTTGAAATAGATTATTCCATCAATGTTTTGATTGCTTTTGCAACAATTATTTACAACTTAGCCTTTTGTTAACATGCATCTTGGTCGCTGGAAATTTATAATACCCAATGAGGTAGGCCATGAGGAGGCAATGCAAATTAGGAGTGTAGTGGTTCAGGAAATGTAGGCAATGTAGAGGGAGAGGGTACCATTTCCTCTCCTACCAAGAGTTTTACTTCAAATAGCACGCGGTTTTTGTTTGTTATTGTGGTCCAACTGTGTTTTTTTTGTGGTCCAACTGTGGTTGTGGTTTTTTATTGTGGTCCAACTGTCCTATTGGGTCAATGAAATGTTGGTATTTGGCTGTCTCTGAGCACAATGTTGGCTATTTCATGATGGTAGCATCCCTACTGTGACAGGAAAGCTCTGGAAGTCATTCATTTTGCAGTGCTCATTCATTCGCATATTTTCTTTGCACTTGCGAGCATGACATTGGATGGATACAAATATGGTATGCAAAAATCGTTTCGGTGATAGGCTGATTACTGATGATGCTACTGGGCATGTACTTTAGGACCATATTGTCATATGGTATCGCATAACGCTACTGGCGCCAAATTTTCCTCCAAAAATTTGGTCGGCGACCAAAAGTACACTTTTACCACCCCTGGCCACGCCAAACTCCGCGTACCTACAGGCAATTGAATAACAGATCTTTTGACATAAGGATTAGATGTACGTCGTGACGTTGCTGACCTATGGCAGGTCAAAATCAGGCTGTGGCTGACAGCGAAGGCATTTTTAGGAGACTGCTAAATCTAACGCTACAACGAAGTGTTAAACGAAGCCGTGCATCCCTGAGCTGAACAAACCGCAACAGACATCCCCATGGATTTCTTTAGGATCACAGTAGGCCTTTGCCCTGAAATGACACATATCAACTCTTTGTTTTTAGGAGCGTGCCATCTAGCGTAATTCTTAATGCTTATTCATGTTAAGGAGTCAAAATAATTTCATAGCTTTTTCGCCATAATTACTTTTTGAATCTTCAATTAGGTCACTGACCTGAGATGAATACCAGTGATATTCTGCTTAGAACATAACTCTAGGCTCAAGACTTGCATGAGGAGGTCTGGGGGCGCTCTGGACACCAATCTTGAGTTTGACCTTGTCTGACCTCATTTGGTCCGAATTTCATGATATATGTACCATCAATTAGGACACCAGTAAATTTACATACAGATCAATTCACCTTACATTATGACCATACAAATTGCTTACTTAAACCGTGCAAAGTGGTGTTTCTAGCTGTCTTACTTTTTATGTTTCAAGGGGTCAAATTGACCCCTTACCCGAGCGAAGAGTTCAACCGGCCACCCTGGATGCGTGTGTAGTCCTCATGATGGACACAGTGCGTGTGTTTTTTTCTGACGATGCAGTCGTTGGCTGTGAAACGTGTCGCATCATATGTATATATATATATATATATATATATATATATATATATATATATATATATATATACATAATTGAACGGGCCAGGCTGCCGAGGGGCCACGGAACTGTGCAGATGGGCCTCGAGACAGTGCGGGCGGGTGACGGGCCAGGTGTTCTCAGGGCCACGTGACTGTGCGGACGAGTAACTGGTCAGGTGGGCCCTGTGTCGCGGGAGAGTGCTGCTGACCGGGAGCTAGCGTGAAGATGACTGCTGATTCCTTCTCACAGCACTGCCAGGCCCTGCTCTGGGCGCCCCTTACACTTGCTGATGAAAAGGGCTTTTCTGATATAAAGTGGGGATTTAAAAATATCTTTGACTGTAGCTTGATGTTTCAGTTGAAAACCGCACCCTGTACAGAACTCCACAATATATCTTTACATACATTACATCTAATACATACCATATACCTTTGACCTGATCCGAACAGCAGTTTATACGCTACTTTCAAGGCCGTGTGACAACGAAGAAAATCTACTCCCCAAAACCATAGACGCCAAGTTATGCCCAGACCGAGCCATCGTTAGGCGTACAAAGTATGAAATCAGGCGCCTATAAGCAATATCCTATTGTGTTCTTATCGGGATGCAACGTGCAATCGAAAAGAGTCGTTGATCGGTCAAAGATGGCCTGCAGGGTGCAATTATGCTTGTAGAAAATGCGACAAACTTGCCTGAAAATTCAACAGCATTTCTACATAGCAACGGACGCATAAGATGCATCAATCGCTCGGCAACAACATTGGATGGCGATTATTAAATCACACGCCTACCAAATATAAGCCATGGTTCGCTGAAATTAGTCCGTCATAACCTTCAGAGGTCCACAGCTAGCCCCTCCCCACACATAGCACCACATTGCCCATCCTTATCGACGGCGACACGTAAGCGCGCGCCCTGATTTGTTTGCAATGATAGCTTCGTCGCCAGACCCCGGTGCCGTCATGGTATGCCCTCAAATCCTTAATGCTGGAGCAGCTGGGTGGGCTCCGTCGGTCCCTTTGCCCTTTTTATCTCGTTTGCATTGTCTGTGAAGCCAGTGCACCCGGTAAGACAATGAAGGGGATGGGGGTGGGGGGGGGGGGGGGCGTATCTTTATATGATTTTTTTTCATGTAATATGCTGCGTGTGAATCTACGTCGACGATTGAAAATCAGGATATACACATAAAAATGAGTAGGCTAAACACAGACAGTATTGGTAACTGTCTTTGAGCCAGTGCAGCCTGTAACATACTAGGGCGGTAGGGGAGTGGGCGCGAAGGCACCGGGGTACGTACCCTCCCATCATTTTGTCATGCAAAAATATGTATATGTATACCAAATAATTGGAATAATTGTAATTTTTATACTGAAAAACGGGATATGCGCGTAAAAATAAGCAAACGGAAAGCAAATGGTATTGATGTGCACCATGCGGAAAATATTGCGCTCCTGTGGTTCGCTGAAGTGAGTTCTTCGATGAAATTTTTGGAGCCCCCTAATCATAAAAAGTTGTATACGTCTTCGCGTGCACACAACGGTACTCTCCAAACCAGACACCTGAAAATTTTTGCACGGAATTGCGTCAGCTTGCGGTTTAAGGTCTTCAGTTTAGGTCTGCATGCAAAACAAGCAAGCTCATCACCTCTCCCTCTCGGATTTTGATGTCCTTGAAGTTGCCGTTTTGCAGCGTCACGAGATTGATGTCGCCTTGCCGCTGGAAGAACACTTCTTCTCCCTCCTCCATGTGGAAGTCCTTTCTGACGTTTGGTCCGCCGACGTAGAACACCTTCAGCTGTCCGTCGCCGTGCCTGCCCAAAGACCGCGAGGCTTCTTAACATCCGCCAGAGTCACGCGTCACGAGCTGATAGCACGCAGGCACTGATGGTAGATCAACGTTAACGAATGGCCCTTGCGCTCTACAGGTAAAGTGCTGGCAAAATCCCGGTGGGGCGTTTTTTAGAGCATGGTGAAATAAACCTTAAAAGCCTGGCATTTGTTACCGCTCGGTTTTGATCCCTGTATGTTACCTCGTCGCGTAGCAATACGATTTTAATGTTGTTTTTGATGATCCGTGGCTTCTCAAATATCCGGTCTGCGGCTTTCATTGCTCATTTGAGGCGTCTTTGCGTCTTCGCGTGTATGACAGCGTCATTGCCCATTCGAGGCGTGAAAATGATGTCATCTTACAATCGAAAACTGAATCATAGCGACATCGCCGAGCATAATAATGCGAGTAAAAAATATTGAATTACGAGCAAGCATAGGAGAACACCACAAAAAAGGACCACTTAACGAGCGCATCACGATATCCCTGTCTAGCAAACACGCCTCGAAAAACGTCGCCCCCTCTCGGCTCGGCAAGTTTAAGTACTACAAGAGGCAATTCTCTCGCTACAGTGGTGATTCTGATGCAGTCAGTTGGCAGCGACTCTGACGTTCGATGACGTTATCAAACGATGACGTATTGATGAAAATTTTTACCAAATCGTACAATTGTATGTCTTGAGCAGTCTTTTAAACTTCAAAGCAAACCAATGGGTTTAAGTGAGGTCATTTCCCCTTATCTGATGATTTCCTTAACATCTTCAATTGTTGAACGTTCTCGTTAGCACGGAAGCGCGCAAATTTGGAAATCTGAAACACCTCGTGAGCACGGGGAAAATGGGTTCAGATACAGGTAACAGACGTCGCAACATTACGAAGTCATCAGACTTTGGCGGAAAAATGGAAATCACAGTGGTCAAAGTGTAGGGCGATGATAATAGACGAGGACACGCCACAGTGCATAGACCATAGATGGATCGTTCTGGGACGATGACTGTCAGACCTCAGACACAGAGCAAATAGAGACATGAAACCAACTGCATATGCGAGTGAATGTGTCAGCCACACTTCCCTCACGAATCTCATAACTCTCCGACACAATGGTGCGTCAACAACCGACCGGAAAGCGGCCAGTGCCATCTTATAAAATGCTGTTATAAAACAAGACCTTACGGCCTAGCCGACAGAAATTGGATCATAAAAGCTACAGGGCATAGAGACAAATTGATTCTGGTCAATGTCCTCCCAAAATATTTTTTTTTAGCCTTTTGGTCGCAGTTATCAGGGTCACAAATAATTACATTGCTGTAGCTGACACCTGTCGCCTCTTTTATCGCCATGCCCGTCTCACGCCACGCAAAAGGTTTTACTGGTTATAACAAGCTGTAACATCTGAAACACACTCACAACATTTTGTTGCAGACGGGCGGCAGAAAGGCTGACTTGTTTTCTTCCAGCCATTGCGGCGTTGATGTCTTGGTCGCCATAGCCACAGCCAACTCGCCTGGTCCCCTGTTCGCAGCACGTCCCAGTATCTTTCAGAGAGGACTGGGTCTGGGCGGGCTGCGGAGACCAAGCATCGCATATGGACCTGCTGGGCCTTTATCATACACAGCGCGCTGGGGGTGTGGGTCTTTATCGTAAACAGCGCCGTTCGCCTACGGGTACGCTGGCTTATATGAATCACCGTCGCCGGCGATGCTCATTGGCCAAAGGCAGCAGGAGATGGATGCGCGCCGTAATCGGGTGAGAGGGGAGGGGGGGGGGGGGGGTAGGGCTGGAGGTCACTAGTACGAAGTAATGGTGTATGCTACGCCATACTGGTGACGAGTTGTCACATAAACATAACAATGGGCCAGATGAAGGACACGGGGCACATAAAGCGATGACGCGACTCTGTCTTCCACCAGATGCTCCTTCAATCCGGGGATCGGAGGTTCATAATTTTCATTGAGGAGGGGAGAGAAACAGTGATTCCAAAACTTTTGTGACCATTTCCCCTGAAGGTAAATCGACCTGTGATTTTCCTGGGCCAAACGATAAAACCAATTGACAAGTATTCCCAAGTTTTCTCCAAAGCGGTTGTACTAAGACAGCATCAAACAATTGGCATACGTGAACTTTAGTATCCCGCTTGTTCCTGAACAGCATGTGAACGAGATCAATGCGTGTATTTGGCTACTAAGAGATGCATTTTCGGCTAAGTGCATGTGACGCGTGACAGTGTATGTACCAACATCACGCCCCAGTCAGCAACCAATACCTGTTGTCGCAGTCTGTATTGCTATCTTTCTTGTCCAAACATGACTTAGCTGCATTGCCATCCCACTCTGAGAGCCTCCTGTTCCCATTTCAGAGGAAATTCCCCGGTTGGAAACGGTTAATGCAGATTCTCTCAGCTGTTTCTGCTGTCTAGCAGCTTTTGGATTACCTATTGCTGTCATATTGAGGGACTGAGGTAAACATAGTGGGGTACGGGCAGGCCCTTGCTCCAACACAGCTCTACGCCGTCTTTAGCGCCAGCATCAAAAGACCTGCTTCCGGAAGTCATGCTATTATATTATATATGCCATCACTATATATTCTACAAACATACGTGGCTTTTACGTGTCATTAGTCCGAGAGATAAAACAGTGTCAAAAAACAACGGAAATTTATAAAGGGTAAGAAACGCATGAACGCGCGCACACATAAACAGTATAAAACAACCTTATCGCGCAAAAAGGGTCTGGCAGCGCGCTCAAACTTGTTAAATTCAGTCGTCGAACATCCACGGTGAACTCATTAATGCGAGGCGCCACTCGGCACGCAAGGGACCGCTGTCCCGCCGCCGTGCGCACCGCCGGAGGGCGCAGGTTATGACGGTCCATGTGGGTATTTCGGTCACTGGTTCGCGCATCAGCGTATGCTTGAAGTAAACGGCCTTACTTAGCATTAGATATAAACTTGGAAGACCTGCTGCTATGGATGTGCAGTCGCTCGCTCCAGATCGGAGGAACTACGCTCGAAAGACCTATCTCATCTTTAGACCTATCCCGGAACGCCTACTGTCGAAAGGCATAAGGGCGAACGGCCTACGCGCAACAAACCCACTACCGTCTTTGTTGACAAGTGAGGATTTCTGTTTTTTGCGGGCATACCCTGAACTGTGAATGACTGTCATCAAACAAGCATGTCTCGCCCCTCCACCCCCGCTCCTTTCCTCCCCTCTGCTACATGGTCCTCGGTCTTTAGACCCCTGCCGCTAGACGCACATCATACGCTAGTCCATACGTGCTGTCGTGACACGGAGTCCTCACTACACGTTTGCCTTCAGTGTGTGGGTGGACAGCGTGATACGCGGCTTGCACACGCCACACGTGTGCCTTCAGTGCATGGATGAACAATGTGGCACGCGGCCCGCGCACGACGTCATACGCGGCGCGCCACGTGGTGTCGCGGTGCCACCACACTCTGCTGGGGGGAGGGGGGGGGGGGGGAAGGTGGGTTCGGACGAGTTCAGCCAACGTCATTCGACGCTGTCAAAGACGGATGCAGTAGGTATTTACGGAGTACGTCTTTCAACGCTAGGTGTCCGGAGCGTATATGTTACGGGATAGACCTTCCAAGCGTAAGTGTTCACAGCAGCGGATCTGCCAAGCCTAGGTCTCTCGAGCGTAGATCTCCCGAGTGTAGGTCTACCGAACGTAGATCTCCCGAGTGTAGGTTTCTCGAGCGTAGATCTGCCGAGCGTAGGTCTTTCGAGCGTGGATCTCCCGAGTGTAGGTCTCTCGAGCGTAGATCTCCCGAGCGTAGGTCTCCCGAGCGTAGATCTCCCGAGCGTAGATCTTCCCAGTGTAGCGTAGGTATTCCAACAGCAGATCTGCCAGGCTTTCCTAGTGTAAATGTTCCAAGCGCAGGGTATTCCACGCAGTAGGTCGTCCTCGCTGATGCCACTTTGGAGTATTCGGGTCTGCCTTCAAAAGAATGAACTAAATATCATAAAACGTGTTGAATTCAGTCCATGCATATGATACAGGTTTAACTGTCCGGAGGATTCTCCTTACCCTGCACTAATCGTACGAAGTGCTGACTTTATTACGGAACCAATGGGAGGTGATTATGATGTGATAACGCCTTCATCACAGCGTTTTAGTTCAAAGCATTACAGCCAGAGATTGAGCGCATTCCAGGCGTTCTGGATTTCTTGCGGCTTACATTTCCTTTCCGCAATGCTTATGCTCTGCATGTTCCAGAAAAGAAAGCCCAAGTTTTCTGTTTTAGTACACCAAATCTTTTGTTTTAAATTTTGACCGTCAAAAACCTGTCAGTGTTTCAGAGGTAGGGCTTTCTAAATATTATCGCTCTGTGGCTTTCTTTCCGTATTGCTGATGAAAGGCTGCAATTATCTATCCAGTTAACTTGCTAAGGTATTTGAAATAAACAAAACATAAAAAGAGACCTGCCTGTCAAATGTACCTATTTAATTACCAGGCACCTGACAAGGTGAACCAAATTTAGAAGGTGAGAATGTGTGGTACTGTATACATAGCTACTTAGCATGACCGATCAAACATGATGACATTAGTACAGCAGGAGACATTTCGACAACATTTCCATCATAGTTGATAAGCACGAGGAAGGCCCTGAGCTTTATTTTTCGACATAGTGATTTTACACTCGTATCACTAAACACGAGTGTCACTCTTGTGACTATAAGCATCCCTTGACATATTGATTTTTGACAGTATAGCCACTGCATGCTCGATAAGGTTCTTTAACACACGAACAGGTGGCCGGTTGCATACCCATCGCTCGGGTGGGGGTCAATTTGACCGCCCTGAGATCTCAGGAACTAACAGAGCTAGAGACACCAAACTCACAGAGTGTGCTGACCTGTGCGTAAGCTCATTTAGGTCAAAGTTTGAGATTCCTAGGTCATGACCTTTGGGTCAAATAAGGTTAAACAATGTCAAATACCAGGTTGAATTCCAAGGACCCCTAGAACCTAGATAATTCTTCTAAGCAAAAGGTCACATGCTCATCTAAGGTCACTGATCTTGTTTGATGTTTTTAAGGTCACGGTGAGCAAAATCATACAAGACCGCTTTGAGCTTTGCATTTGGATAAGCGACAAAGATTACGCTAGACGCATGTTCCTAAAAACAAAATGCTTACCTGGGTCGTTCTAGATTAGCGACCTATTGTGGCCTTTAAAAAGTGTATGGAAGGTGTGTAATGCGGTTCCTGTTATCGATAAATTCGAAATGAGTACCAGGAACTACCCCATACAGCAAGCGCTACAGTAATGAAAGAGGTCGGTTTTGACGTTGTTCTGACTTTCATACCTGACCTTAGTTCAATGTTATTTATTCATTCATTGTTGTGTTGCCGAAGGAAGTATTTCAGAGATGTATGGCTTCGTCTAACACTCAGCTGTTGGACCAGATTGAACGATTCCCTGGAAATTGCCCTCGCTGAAACCAGGACGTGACTTTGACCTGCCGTAGGTCAGGGACCTTACAAGGTACATCTACTTTTTATGCCAGACGAAATGCTATTCAGTTGTCTACAGTTATACAAGATTTGGTGTGGTACGCCCCGCCGTTCGGAAACTATTCTGGAAAAACCTTCGAGGGTCAATTTGAGCTCCCACCCGAACGCGTGTTCACCACGACCTGTTGGTACAGTAACCCAGCATTGACCGGGGTCCTCAGTGGCACACCTTTGACCGAAGGGGGCAGACTGGCTCCCTGCATTCTCAAGGACGGCCGAGCTAAACAAAAAAATCAAATCGTTAATTGACTGCGCCCTGGCGCACGGCCTCAGACCACACCGCAAACTTAAGTCTGGTCGTGCACTAAGGTCACAAATAGAGGCAAAATTCTTAAAATGTATCTTTGAAATATCCGGTCACTCCCAATGCATTTTATTTACAAGCGTTTCTCATAAAATCGTTGCGTCCTGATCAAACATGCTGCATATAAAGGCATGCAATGTTGCGCGCCGTACGGGGCCAAGAGCCATGGCCGCGTGCCGTACGGGGCCAAGAGCCGTGGTCGCGCGCCGGACGGGGCCAGGAGCCAGGGTCGTGCGCTGTGCGGGGCCGAGAGCCAGGGTTGCGTACCGTGCAAATGAGAGCTGAAAGCCTGGTCTATAGGTCATCGTCATGTCATCACCATAGATTGGTCATATCAGACACGTGAGCAGGGGCTCTCACTTGTTCATAAATTCTCTAAGGTCAAGGTCAAAGAGATTACCTCGATAGTGATCCAGCGATTGCATGCACGTTCAAAAAGCGTGATTTGTAATGGAAAGCCAGACCATGCGGTCACAAGCCCCGCGTCATTCAGTTGTGTGATAGGAAATAACTCTGCTTGCTGGTTCGACCTGGTGAAGTAAAGTACGGAGACTGGGGGATCAAGTTTACTTCAGCTCATGTTCATCAGAAATGAATGACTCAAACAATCCTGTTCGGATTTCAGTGTCTTGAACGGCGTTCAACAGTTCTGCTCCAGCGATCGTGAACAAACTGCAGCGAAAGCGATTAGGATATATTTCTTCTCATCTCGCGACCATTACACATGGGATCGGTCATCACGTTGCTTTTGACGGTTCATTCCTGCCAACAGCGCAACCTA